GTGTGTGTGTGTGTGTGTGTGTGTGTGCATGTGTGTGCGTGTGAGTCGCAACGCAGCGGAACCAGGTGCTTGTCAATTTTTGGGCATGTGGAGTTATTGGTATCATCTTGAAAGCTTTTTCATATTATTGCTTTCAATGAAAAAAATATCCATTTATCTAGAATACAAGTTGAGGAGATATTTACAATTGAAGAAGGTGGGGGTCACCAGGTCTCAGAAGTAAAATTAGCGAGAAAATGGCCGCCAAAGTTAAGTTATTTCCTTCGCATGAGTGTTCGCGGAAACAGAAAATTTATACTATATTATATGCCTTTAACTGATGTTTTTCAGTACAATACACTCAGAAATGTGTACTTAAATATGGACATGAAAGGTGTTGAGTCAAAAAACAAAAATTAGATAAAAGTTGCCAAACCTGTGGAAAAATACTAGTTTCCTCACTTTCATTATTTTGACAAGCGCCTGATTTCACCACGCTGCCTCACACATATATATATATATATATACACATATATATGCTACCGAGAAAGAACTGATCAGAAAAGAACACCTTCAAACTACTGTGATAAAAAACACAAAGCAGTTAATGCATCAACAATGACTTAAAGTATTTTCACACTCTTATCTCTCAATTACTACAATTAGCATACATAATACGCGAGTTAGAAATATGTCAGGAGAAAAGTTAGCGACAAAGAATCTGACTAGAAATACGGGATAGAATAAAATGTAAAAAAAATGTACAAGCAGCACACCAGATGAGCTAGCTATTGACAAAGAAAGTCAGTATTTGAGTAGGCCCTACCCAGTTCTTTGAAAATGACAGCACGGCAATGAGCGAAAAGTGAATAACTTTAATCATCCCTTTTTGTTGAATCAGAAAAAAACAAAACAAGGAAAAGATTACTGCTAGATGAAGCAAAATTTCGCTTACTTCCAAAGTCTTTTCCAGCTTTAATGACCATAGTAACCTTCTCATACGCATTTTGAGATTTTGCTTCGACTATGTTTTCTTACCATTTTTGTGTACGGTACCATTTTAGTGTGCAAAATACAACTGCTTTTGTGGTCAGAACATTATCATTCAAGTAAAACCCACCAAGCTGACTAAACACAGGAGTCATTACTCTTTTGTTATTACGGTATGTGTAACTTTGAGGACACCTTTCTGGGGACAAAATGTGGTAAACACTCAGTTTTTCCAATAGCTATTTCCACTTATGCAAATAAACAACTCTTCAAAAAGCTTTCACAACTCAGGTCCTCAAAGCATAAAGGTATATCATCAGGCTAAGATAGAGCTGTTCTTCACATATGAATAAAAATATCTAAGCAGTTCGTGTAACATATGTCTTATTTTGATATGACATGAATATATGGTAATCGTAACAATCCCCCGCATTGACCCTGTTTTTACAATGTCAGAAAAACAGTGATTCAGGGAAAGACATAGAGCATTTCGAAGCAAAGGTATTTACCCCACAAAGCTCAAGTTTTAGGATAACTCACAAAGTGCAAGTTTTTAGGTAGCATAAAGTTGGGTTGTATCCACAAAAATAAGAGCGACGACAGATTCGCAGCTTCGAAAAATATTAATAACAGCCAGAATATGACCCCTGGCCCAGAAAATGTGACGCCATTTACACATAGCAGGAGAAGCATGCTAAAAACTGCTTCGGTAACGAAAAACTTGATGGAGTTGCAAGCTGCTACATATGAACTAGGATCTTATGGCTGCTCTAGAGTACTTCTTGAGTCCATCCAAGTGTTCGTTGAATCAATATGACAAAAGATTCAACGCCCAACTATATCAGGCTCCATCGTAAGAGAACACCACAAAAATCATAGGGCAGATGAGTTCCTTGTCTGAACCAATAAGACATTCCACTTAATATCACATTGCAAAACAAACTACAGCATAGGGAAAGAGAGCCCAGGAGCTTAGAAATTTCTGTCCCTTTCAAACACGACAAGATTTTTTCTTCTCATTCATAACATTAACATATGCTGTCTAATCTCTATGTGGGTGTTGTATCAGCAATGTAAGAGTTAGCAGCAGTAGCTTGGGACCGGACAAGCGGTAAGCGTTCTATCATTCTAGATGAGCTATGGGCCAGGGACCAAGGATGAGCAGACAACAATGCATTATTTCCAGTCTTTAAATAGCTCGTTCCAAATCTTGAACAAAAAGGCAGGCTCTTCCTGGAGGGAACAGTGTGCGATTGCATACCAAGAAAACAAAGAAATAAAAAAAATTAAAAACTCAAATCCGGATGCCCTGATCTGATAAAAAACCGGGAAATCAAATACTTCACAATATGACACACCTTAGCCGACTTTTTCCCCTCTCAGGTTTTGTATACTTCGGCTCCAAAACTGCCAGGATGGCTTCATCGAAGACATCTTTCAGCCCTTGTTTGGTGAGAGAGCTACATTCCACGTAGCAATCCCCACCCAGTCTCTTAGCCATCCTGTCCCCCTCCTCGGCTGGGATGGGTCGTAGTTTCCGTTTCTGCAGCTTGAGCTTCGTCGGTTCGTCGTCACGCAAGTCTACCTGCGTCCCAACAACGATGAAAGGAGCCTTGGGAACATTATGCCTGATTTCAGGTATCCACTTGGTTTCTGCATTCTTCATGGATTCTGGCATGACCACAGAGTAGCAGACCAAGAAGATGCTGGTTTCTGGGTAGGACAACATGCGGAGACTTGTATACTCTTCCTGAAATTACAACGGACAGATAAAAAAACAAACTTTAAAAACAAAAAGAAGTTTAAAGACAATGAAAGAAACTTGCTACCAAATAAAGCTTACATGCTAAAATACCACCTCTTATTCATCATCTATACTTGCAGTTGTTCAATAGACAATTTTTTACTTGTTTCAGGAAGCGTTTTACAGTCCTTGCAACGCAAATAGAAGGTAATTTTAAAAAAGTGTTGAAGATTAAAAATATTGGTAGACAGTAACATACAGAGAAAAGAAGGAGGAGAGATAAGGACAACAGATGTTTGATAGGAAAGAAGAAGCAAACCATACCAGAGCACCTGCCAATCATTCACTTGGAGGGGAGGTCAACTTGTGGAGTGTCACAAAGGTATTAGAAAAACAAGGAGATGCTAATAAACCCATATCTGAACCTTTTTGTTTGTTTTTATAAAGTGTTTTACGGCGCTCGCAACTGCAGAGGTTATATGAGCGCGCGGGACACACCTAATATTTTCAGTTGGTAGGAAATTTTGAATTTTGCCCAGGTGGCGGCCGAAGCCTACTCTCATCGATTGTAGACCACCAAGGGATCTTTAACGTGCGCAACTTGCACACGGGCCCTCCGAGATTTTTCGCCCTTGTCCGAGAAGGCTAGGTGTAGATCTTTCCTACCAGAAGATCAGGGGTGTGGCTGAAAGACAGCAGTAAGGAGGAGCCAAGGAGTAGCAATAGAAAGGCTGCAGAAAGAGTCAGGAGCCCAGAGGAGGGGGCAAAGGAGGTGAGGGGCTGGGGGCAGAAAGTGGAATTGAAAGCAGACAACAGAACATTGATAGAGAGCAGGAAAGGAGGTGAAAGGAGACAATTTTAGAGAAGAACATTTTTCGGTCGCTACCCGGATTCAAACCCGGGACCGTTGAATGAGAGGCCAACACCTTAACCTCTAGGCCACGAGAGCCCCCATCTGAACCTTTTCAGTGCATACACCAGCAAACAGTTGAGTAAGGCCATTGCTGCTACAAGATCTTGATTGATCAGATTTACCACTGCACTTTCATCAGTGTCTCAAGTCGCTGATGCGATAATAATTTATATATTATGTGTCATGACGCAGTGGAATCAGGCGCTCGTCAATTTTTGGGCATATTGAGTCATTGGTATCATCTTAAACCTGTTCGTTTGCCTTGCTTTGAAAGAAAAAAATATAGTTTTATCTTGAATAGAAGTCGAGATATAAGCGATTGAAGGAGGATGGGGTCACCGGGTTCAGAGATAAAATTAGCGAGAAAATGGCTGCCAAAGTTTGGTGACTTCCATAGCATGAGGAGAGTCCTTGAAAACTGAAAATTTACAGTGTTTGTCCCTTTAATTAACATTTTATGTAAAATACACACAGAAATGTTTTCAAATGGAAATAAAAGATGATGAGACAAAAAACAAAAATTCTATAAAATAGCCAAACCAGCAGAAAAGTGCTGGTTTCTTTGATTTCAGTATTTTGATAGGCGTCTGATTTCACTGTGATGCCTCACATATACATTTGGGCCATGTGTCCACTGAAGTCACTGCATACACCACAGAATCTATAGCAGGAAAATGGCACTTCGAATTGTTCCACAAGTATTGAAAAGGTACCTTAGCCTGGCTGGAACATGGTGAAATTACTTGGGTTGGAATTTTACAAAGCAGAAGGGTTACAGTACAAGTAGTACCAAGCAATTTTTCATTGTAAGGAAGTTTATACAAAGTTTCAATACTGCTTGAATCAGTTGGTCAGAAAATAAACATTTTTCAAAGTTTGTGCCAGAAAGATGTACAGAAGGAACACATAGAGCTGAGTAGTAGCTGACTGCAAGTGAGCACAATAACTGCCAATACATTTCACAAGAATGAGAACTCAAAATGCAGACCATAATAGGAGAATAGCAATCATCCATTTTTTCTCCTTTGTCGAATTAATCTGTACTGATTCACATGATAGCCTCAGAGCAAAAGAGACACAGAGTAAGGAGAGTTGGTTTTGATATCTGGTGAGTTTAATGTGATTTGAATCCCGTTAGGGGCCCAACGTTGAGTCCCTGGGAAAGGCACTTTGCACAAATTTTCCTCACTTCGCTCAGGCAGAAATGGGTACCCAGCTATACAGAGTGAATGATCTAGCCGTTTTGATAGTGTTTGACCGCATGAAATCCTCAGCTTGCACTGTATGCTTCTGCGGAAGCCGAGAATGTTTCTGAGTGTCTTCAGAGGGTCTGCTGGGGTAATAATATTGTAAAGCGCACAGAGTATGCTCCAGAGCATGAATATGCGATAAATGCAATTATTGTTGTTCCCATGACACTGTCAACTCATGGAGGACGTGCATAATGGTCACTTGACATTGCTTGAAGACTTGCTGAGACGGGGCAATAAATAATAATAACATGTATGGGGCAAATTCCCGTTCAGCAGCAAGCTCTATGTGCTTTACAAGCTGAAATTATAATTATTACCCCAGCAGAATTGATAGCATTCTGAAACAATCTCAGCTTCCTCAGAAATATACAGTAGTCCAAGCTGTCACTTTATAGGCACTAAAACACTAACATACACATATTTCAATTATGTTTTCTGGAACTTAAAAAGACAGGAAACAAAACACATTCTGTGAAATATGCAAATTAGTGTGGTTGGTCTGTATATGATGACTCGAAATATCCTGCAATATTGTCTTTGGTCGGTAGCTGATCGGACCTATGTGTCTGCTGCTATGTCCTTAAAGAGGCTAGCTATTTGTGTCACAGTACGAAAAAACCAGGCGCCCGTCAAAATAATGAAAGCGAAGAAATTGACCCCCCCCCCCCCACATTCATTTTGCAATTTTTATATAATTTTTTATTTTCGGCTCAAGACTTTTTATACCCATCTAAAAACATATTTCTATTTCTATTATTATATGGATTCTATTGAAAAATGTTGATTGGAGGCACCCCAAAAAATGTAAATATTCAGTTTCCAATAACATTCAAACTTTGGAAGCCATTTTCTTCCTTTTTACCTCTGACAACAGGTGATCCCAGCCCCCTTCAAGTGCAAATATCTCGACTTCTGTTGAAGAAAGGTGGGCTTTTTTTTGGTTTGTTTTTGTTTGTTGTCAAAAGTATGGCAAACGAACAAGCTTTAATACTATACCAATAACTCCACATGATCGAAAATTGACTAGCGCCTGATCCCACCGTGTGGTGACACATTTATTAGATCATCAAACTTACCTGGCCAGCTGTGTCAAACAAACCTAATTGATGAGGAGCATCTTTAATGTTGACTGTCACTGAAAAATTGAAGCAAAGAGAAAAGGCAATGTTCATGCTCAAAGACTATCAAAGATGGATCCTGAAGGGGGGGGGGGGGGGGGGAGCAGAGATGGACATGTTCCGACTACATGACCCCAACACAGTGGACAAGTAAGACTATATGGGAACAATGAAAGAGTCAATATATAATATAACATGATATCATCATTGTCACACTACAACTGTTACGTCATCTTTGATTGTTCTGAGATAACTTTAAAAAGATTACGCAACCTTAGTCAACTTTTTGACTTGAACTTGAACAAAAGTGAAAATATATCTCTGAATTGGATTTCTTGTCCAGGAAACAAAAACCCTGTAATTTCAACATGTAGGATATAGGGAAGCTGATATTTAACTAATAATTCTACAGACCTGAAAAAAAAAAAACTTCAGCATAAATAGTGTTTGGTTATGATTGTGCAAATATATGACATTTTGTCCCCACTGTGCCCCCCCCCCCCCCCCCCGGAATAACTACTTATTAATTCAAAATTTTTAAAAATCAACAGTTGGCCATTCAAATAGAAAACAAGCAACAGTCAGTAATTTAATACCCTTCAAACATTAATGGTCTATAGCAAGGATGGACATATTTATGCTTAAAATCTTATGGAATTGTACTGTATTTAATTTCAAAAAATTAGCAAAGGTACTTTCCATAATAAATAGATACACATACAATAATTCATGAAGAAGACCCGAATTTGATTCCCAAATGGGGAGAAATTTTTACTGAGTGTCTTGGTCTTTCTCTTGGAATGCTGAATTGTATCCCTCTCCGTCTCTAGCCCGAGTTTGTCCAGACAGGCAGGGTCAAAAGCTCGTGAACCCTCTAAATGATCTAATTGTGTCAATTCAATGGGGGTGTAAAAAACACCTGCTACAAAATGGTGACATATCACATGCAATTATGTGAATCAAGAGGTGTAATATACAGAGCAGTAGGACAATTAAAGTGTCATAAAATAATTAAATTAACATAGATCTAAATAAAATGTTTTCATGTTTTATTATCTCAATAATCTATCTCATTAGCATACATTTAAAATGCTTTTAATAAAATGTCTTGCTTCTGCTACTACTGCAAAATTTTTCATACAGAGAGGCTTCTATTATAAATAAAATACAGTCTAGCATGCACACAGCAAAATCGTCGGACATCTCTTTGGTTGATCATGAAATTTGTGGTGTTCAAATTTCAGGCTATCAAAGGAGATCAACAAAGTTCAAAGTTGGGACGTTTGGGTCCAAATTTAAGGTCGACATTTAAACTAGATTCTAAATCATGCACCCTCTATGCCATGTTGGGTCAGTGTGTAAGTGTTGGGTTCATAGTCGCATGATGTTTTAAAGATTTGGGTTTTTCCCATTGTTTTTTTATCTCCCTCTGAGGATTGACAGCCAAAATTTTTCCTCAACAGAAGAAATAAAAAAATTGCTCTGTTATTGAGTGGGCCTCTATGGTCCACTCCCACAATTTCATCTCTAGATCTACTCACAGTCTATCTTACAAAATTTAGCACTTTATTTTAGTCTCTAGATCTAGATTCTTGACTGTGCAGAACACCGACAAGCTGTTTATGTAATTTTTCTATTGAAGAGGAAGCACACTAACAAATGTGGTGAATCACCATGACAATTGCCTTTACATGATTGCAGAATCCTCACAAACAACTGATGTGTGCAGGCTAGAATCTAGATATATCTATCCTACCGTTGAACCCTTGCAACTTACATAGAATCTAGAATCTAGAGCCAGAGTTAAAACAAAAATCCAATTTGGCTTTGGACTTTTTTGTGAGGCCAGCTCTATTCGGACTCGAGTCCGATTTATATAAATTTTATCCATTCGGACTTGAGTCTAAATGGGTTTTATCATTCGGACTTGGGTCTGAAAAAAATGTTTTATTTATTCGGACTGAGCTTCTCAGTGAGTTGTGAGTGTAAGGAGGTTACATAATATAACTGTCGTCAGGGGATTTTACGCAAAACTAGAATTGCCTACAAGGACTGTGTAATTGTGTCAAAAGTAAAAAGACTGCACTCTCAATTTCATTAGATTAGATCTATGGCAGTGTCTAAGTACACGGCAACTGACAACTCATGGTCTTTCCGCCACCACTACAGCATCATCATTACTTCCCTCACCATTTGCCTTTCCACATGTTTAATTTCATTTTGTTGTGTGTTATAGTTTTTCTGTAATTATTTTTGAAAAATTCACATTGCACAAAACCGACAGCCGTGGCCTCTTCCCAACACCTCTTCCCACAGAAAGCCGAGATAGTGCGATATTTATATCGCTACGCGCAATCTCACTGGTCAACTTAATTAACTTTGCCCCTGGCAAGGTCAACTCAACTTGGTTGTTCTGTTCAAACTAATGATCCAGGGAGGGCCAGTTTAGATAGATCTAGATTCTAGATCTAGATTTTCTAGATCTAGATCTAGTAAGTAACTGGTTTAAAAGCTCACGTCTCGATTGTTATCATTATAATCGAAAAGATTCATAAATGCTGGAAATATTTTGATCTAAATCTAGATCTAGACTCTAGGAAGGAACAAGGGTTGGAAGTCGGAACGGACGTCATGCTGGACTCATTTCAGAGTCTGATATAATTTTTCTCTTTTCGGATCTGTCACTTCGTTTTTGTGACTCTCATGACTCATGTACTGGATCATTACTATTACTTCACATAGACAAGATTTATTTAGTACTGTAATTATGTCAGAAAGGCAGAGAATGTAGGCTATACTCGATAGTATAAGTACTTAGTCTAGATTCTAGATCTCTAGGCCTACAAGAAGTAGATCTAGAAGATCTAGAATCTAGATCTAGATCTATGTGTCTCTCATCCGTCTTCACACTTTTGTCTTTGGGGCTGCGGCTTCGTTGAACTTGAAGCATCGAACTGTGGGACTTACCTGCGTAGTTATCAAAAACCGTCGGAACATACTCAGTGGGAAATTTGTTTGTGGCGTAGCTCATCAGCATACAGGTTTTCCCAACAGCTCCATCACCAACCACAACACATTTGATGAATTCTTGACTAGCTGCGCTGGCTGTCATATTGAATACTTCCTACTTCTCGATCGACACAGCCTTCAGTTCACTCTACTTCTCTGACTGTTGGATTTAAAAACAATAGTTATTTCCCTTTACATATCGGATTTCCGGCGGGTAGTGTCTACGTTCTCCGTACATGTATCCAAATCCAAGGCCTACAAGCTGTCTACATTCTCTAGTGTTCAGTGCTTCCAATTTCCCGTCATTTTTAGTTTCCCCCAGATCTTATCTGCGATGCCTGCAGCCTCCTTGATACCCCCCTCCCATGTTTCTGACTTTCTAGATCTAACTTTCTTCGTTGCAGGAAAAAAAAAAACAACAACAAAAAAACAACAACAACTAGAATCTAGAACTCTAGATCTAGATATATATACATCTTGATCAATGTTGCGGTGTATTTCCTTAAACAATATGTATCAAGCTTAACCCTATCCGTACGCCATGGGGTCATTTTGTACTCCCGGGATTGCATCCTTCATATTTTAGAATACATGTAGATACTTCTAGTGCGAAGATCTCTTTGAAACTTTCTCAAAAAATCATTTTGCAGACAGCTATGCAAAGCGTACGGTTCGGATTGTTGAGCAAATTTACCCTTTGGAAAGTGGTGGCACAGGCAAGTTCCCCACGCCGTATGACTACGATAAATAAAACACGATGTAGGTCTACGAATAGTGCTAATCTACCTTTCGGTGTTGGAAGTTCTGATGGCCGAATGAACAGCGTATTTGCATTTGAAGCAAGGAGCTTAAAACTAGGCCTAACCTTTAATCTCCTTGGTTTGAAGTCATACAATTATTTTATTAGCGTGGTCCCGGAAGCACTGAACATTAGAGAATGTAGACAGCTTGTATACACTCAAAGCAATGTTTAACTAGATCTAGTTAAAATTGTAGCGATGTGTATTGCGTGCCCATCGACATAATTGAGGTCAAATAGGAAAAAAAAAAGGGGGGGGGGGGGGCTTCCACTTTTCCTGTCATTGCCAACCCATCTGGGAGGGATTCTACGCCCCAGCAGTACAGATCGAGACACTCATTTAAAAACCTTCCTGAAGTTGCTGCGCGAGATTTCAAACTCGTGTCTTGTGCGTGTGACGGCGAAGCGCCTATAACCGCTACTCCATTCGGAACTCATAGACTCGTACACTGTCATCATCAACCAGTGCCAGATCTGCGATAGACATCGGCGATCATGGTTTTTCCATTCATTCCTATGCTCGGATGTTCTAAAAAAAAAGCTACGTTTCCCTGATCTTTCCCTGTTATCCACTTGTTTAGGTTCCCTAAGTATGTTGTTCTGGGTCTACCCCTGCCTCGCTTGCCCTCAATTTTGCCAGTGAGAGCTAGATGTTCAGGACCCTTATGTCTATTCAGGTGTCCCAAAAACTGCATTTGTCGTTTCCTGATCGTTTTTAACATTGAGCGTCCCACGTCCAACGTGGGCTTCATCGAGCACCACCTCATTTGATTTCTTTTCCTTCCACGATACTTTTAGCAATCTCCTAAGACACCACATTTCTGCTGCTTCTATTTTATTTTCACTGTCTTTAGTGATTGTCCAGCATTCACAGCCATATAGAAGGGTTGACCAAACATAGCATTTCAGGACTTTCATTTTGGTGTTCATTGAGATGTTTCTATTTTTCAGGATTGGGCTCATTTTTATTGAAACTAGCCTTAGCCATTGCAGTTCTCCTTTTTATTTCTGTGGAACATTTTTTTGGCATCAGATGTTATCATGTATCCTAGATATTTAAACTGTTGGACTTGTTTGATCTTTTCACCTTTGCTTATGAGATTACAACTAGGATTTGCTGGTTTTTTTATATTACCATGCATTCCGTTTTCTTTACATTCAACAATAATCCTTTAAGTTCACTTTCTGTTACAACAGTATCTAGAAGCAATTGAAGGTCCTTTTCGGAGTCTGCTATTAAGACTGTGTCATCTGCATACCTAATGTCATTAATATTTTCTCCATTTACTTTGAGGCCTGGACATTCTTCTATGTTTCTAAGGATTGTTTCACTGTACATGTTAAAGAGGTCTGGTGACATAACACATCCTTGCCTCACTATTCGCCTACATAATCTGCTTATATTCAATGTATTCTCCATTAATTCGTACAGCAGCGTTTTGGTGCCAGTACAAATTTCTGACAATTCTTAGATCTTTCCCATCTATGTATAGCTTTTCCACTATTTTAAATAGCTCATCATGTCTGACTTTATCGAATAATATATGAAGTATAAATATACAGATCTTTCTGTGCTTCAATAGATCTTTCCATTAACATTGTTAAGGTGAATATAACATTTCTGGTGCCCTTGTCAGGAACAAAGCCGAATTGCGTTTTAGATATCTCTGGTCTTACACTTTTTCTTAATCTTCCCATTATTACTCTCAGCAATATTTTTGTAAAATGACTCATAATGCTAATTGTTCTATGCATATCACACTCTGTGGCACCTGGTGTTTTAGGTAAAGCTATAAAAACTGACTTCATCATATCTTCTGGAATCTCACCGCTGTCATAAATAGCATTTAGGAGCTTTGTGATTATTTCAGTGCCTCGTTCTTCAAGCGCGACAATCACTTCAACTGGAATATTATCTGGCCCTGTGGCTTTTCCTTGTTTCATTTTCCTAATGACAGCCTGTACTTCTGCTTTCAGTATTGGTGGTCCATTTATTTAATTCTTTATTACTGGTTTTTCTCCTCTATTATCTTTGAAAAGTTCTTCTATGTATTCTGACCATCTGTTTAAGACATACTCGTTGTCCATTAAAATACCCCCCCCCCCCCCACCTTTTGATCTTATGCATCCTGTATTTGAGCATCCTTTTATCCCACTTATTTCTTTGATTTTGAAATGCATGTTAAATATTTGCTGTCTTTGTTTTGGTTCTTCTCTATAGTTATATGGTCTCATCTGTAAACCTGAAAAAAATGGAGAGTCAATGTTCGACAGTTGAGGAGATATTTGACAATAAGTTGCGCCACAAACTTTTGACCGCACTACAAGACTGCGCACAGTCATGGTCGCCACTTTTCGCCCTATTATAAAAACTTCAGTACAAAGAGTCCCGCCATGGGCTGCGTTATTACTCCAAACCGAGGGCTCAACAACACTGTCTCCGTGTGGTCAGTGCGCGCAGCACAGTTCCTGTTGCTCTTCACTTGAATCAAATCCTTGTGTATTGAGTCAAATAGTGTGTTCCATACACTGATTGTGTACAGTGTAATACAAGTCGAGGCACGGGACTCGTTTCATGCGAGCAAACAAAACATGCCAGGCCTTGAGCCAGAGCTGGTGTGTTAATTGTTGGCTGTTGGGCTCTTTACTCAACAACACTGTCTCGGTGTAGTCAGTGCGCGCAGCACATCTCCTGTTGCTCTTCACTTGAATCAAATCCTTGTGTATTGAGTCAAATAGTGTGTTCCATACACTGATTGTGTACAGTGTAATACAAGTCGAGGCACGGGACTCGTTTCATGCGAGCAAACAAAACATGCCAGGCCTTGAGCCAGAGCTGGTGTGTTAATTGTTGGCTGTTGGGCTCTTTACTCAACAACACTGTCTCGGTGTAGTAGTCAGTGCCCGCAGTACATTTCCTGTTGCTCTTCACTTGAATCAAATCCTTGTGTATTGAGTCAAATAGTGTGTTCAATACACTGATTGTGTACAGTCTACAGTGTAATACAAGTCGAGGCACGGGACTCGTTTCATGCGAGCAAACATGCCAGGCCTTGAGCCAGAGCTGGTGTGTTGTTGGCTGTTGGGCTCTGTACTCTTTACTTATCCTTTATTTAAGTATCAAGCTACACAGGGCTGCAGGATTGTGGGGGAAGGTTGCAGGTTGGAGAGTGAAAAGACGTTAGAAGTCAACAAAAACAATAGCAACAACAGCAACAACGACGACAACAACAGCAATAACGATGACAACAACAGCAACAACATTGACAACTAACTATAGAAGCGATACCAGCAGCAGTAGCAGCAGCAGAAGCAGCAGCATAAACAACGACAAACGACAGTAACAAAGTCGAAAATGACGAAAACAACAGCACCAGCACCAAACAACAAGGACAACCGTAGCAAAACAAAAACTACAAAGCAAACAGCAGCAATAACACAGCAGCATTAAAAAATTACCCATACCAGTCAGAGTACGGGCCATCTACATGCTACAGGGAAAGGAAGATACACACAATATAGGGCCTACATTATATAATATTATTTTAAACGGAATCAATAGCGCGGGGTGAAGGTTTGCCGATGAATGCAGAAATGCTATAGCTCTATTCCACGAACCAAACAGGGGAACATTTTGACATTAAAACTTTGTTTGATTCCAGGCTTCTCGCCCTTTGTCAAAGGAGGACAACACTAAACTTTGGGCATTTGAGTAAAGAGAACGACGACACGATAGCGATAATTTGGAACAAGAGAAAAGTGAGACAGACAGAAACAACAACGGGTGGAGGGAGAAGTATATGACGGATGCAGTGATGCCCCCATGCACCCGCCTACGAGATATGCACTAAGCCACTAAGCTTGACCACAGAAGTGACCACCACAAGGACACAGACTAACACAAAGATGGTCTAGTAACTCTTTATTTATTCTTTCTGACAAGTTCAAAAATTGGTCGCTATACAGAGGCGAAAAGAATGTGTGCTACAGTTGGCCGGAAGTTCTAATTTAATAACATGATTGTAATTGTAACTAACGTTTTCCGCCCACATCGACTCAAGTTTACAGGCGGGCTGCTTCAAGCACGTCTATCGTCAGGGTCAGCCCAGGCTGTTATGGGCCCGGGAATCCCAGCAGTAATACAGAGATACCCGATTAAATACCCCACCCCCTCCCCAGTAGGAATTAAAACTCATTATCATTTTCTGTGCGCAAGACCTAAACAAAGCCTGGCTTTACTTAAACTAGGCACCGGTAACAACCTATCTCTGCATTTGCACTATAAGACGTGTGATAAAACAATTCATTAACGAAAGGAGATCATGTTTAAATCACAAGGCATCATTATGTAGGTAAAAACAATCAATGTAACAACAGTGTCATTTAATAATTTATAAGGACTTGGAAGAAAAACTCTGAGTGTACAAAGGGAGCTTATGATTGCCTAGCAACGTCATACATGGCGGACGACCGGAGTCTAAGGGAGGAAAACCCGGCTGTCCAGTGTGATACAACCCAAACTTTTAAAATTGTCTTGGACAAAATCCGAGGGACGGCCAAAAGATAAAAAAGTCTGGAATAGATAGAAAGGACATGAGACGCTCTAGCCAAAACTAGAGACTGTAACTGTAACATGTCTAGTGTCTAGA